GCCTATCAATCTCTATTTAATGCTGGACACCATCCTTGCTCCTGGAAGCTTGCTATAGGAGTGATCCCTCCAAAGAGGAGTAAAAAGGACTACACCATTCCAAAGGCGTACAGGCCAGTTTCTCTTCTACCTTGCCTCTCCAAATTGCTAGAAAAGCTCTATACAAATAGGATCTCGTATTTAGCTAATATATCACCTTCTCTCCCACACCAAAGTCAAATGGGAGGCCGGAAACAAAGGTCAGCTATTGATGCAGCCCTTCTTCTGCAAAAATTTGTTGAAGAAGATCTATCAAAGCGTCTTTTTTTTTTTTTTTTTTTTTGCATCAGATTTTAATTGCGTATGCAGCTATCTAGCTATGACACAATATCAAAGAAAAGTACAGAATAGATGATTCAACGTAAAGGAAGAGCACTCATGCCTCAGATTTCATTTGCAAGTACCACTGCGAAGTTATGGTGGCTTTTTCTTCACCCCAAGTCAACCCTCATCCGTGAATACCCACTCAGGGAAACGTCTCAAAAACCCTGAGTTATCCAGACATGCCTTCATCATCTTTCAACTATTCTCCGCGCGATATGTGATCTGAGGTGTCTCTTTCCCAAGTGGAGTAGGTGCCCAGGCTACTCAAACCATACCGGAGAACACCACCAGGAGGCAGACCACGACACCTTCCATGGTTTGCTTGTTTTTATAGTGTCAGCTGCACTCTCGCAAGCGAAGTCTTGACGCGCACAAAGCCCAATTCGAAAAACTCCTTGCAAAAATTCGGAATTTCACTCCCTCCAAGGTTATATCCTCCCTTTGCATCATCTTGTAAACTTGTCCTGATCCCTCTCACGTCCATCCCAAAGAACTGTCTCCCAGATTTGTGCGCCACGCTTTGCTTCCTCCGTCGGGTATAAATATCGGCGTGGGCGTGTATTTGGTGGTCAACTGAGACCAGAGAAGGTCGAAGAGAGTTGTGGTCATTGGGATAAGGACGTACTAGGTCGTACTTGTAGACTTGATAAGACTCAGGTAGGCGCCAAACTCGTTGGGAGCGGAAAAACGACGTGGTGGAGTAATTTTAAATTTTGCCTCGTGGGCCAACTTCTTTGATTTTGCGAAATTTGACTGAACTTGGCTCTGTGAGAATATTTCACTCCCAGGTTCGTAGAGGGCACCGCGTACAGGTGTTCAGTCTTGCCCTCCTATCAAAGCGTCATGTAGCATCCACTGTATTGCTGGATGTTCTTGGTGCTTTTAATAGACTTCAACCAGCAAAACTGATTCAGATTCTCAATGTCCTTCAACTACCACTTCCATTTGTAAGATGGACCAAATCTTTCCTCTATAAAAGAGAAATCAAATTATTATTTAATGGACAGCTCAGTCAACAATTTTCAGTCTCAGGCACTCCCCAGGGGAATCCAATTTCTCCCATTCTTTTTCTTCTTTCCATCAGGTATCTGCTCCCTCCTGAGCAGAGTCAAAAGATTCTCTACATCTCTTACATAGATGATATCTCTATATCTGCTGCTTCGGCCTCAGTTGAAAAGAATATCCATGCCTTGGAAGGTTCAATTGAAACTGTTGCGATTTCATAATAAGAGGAGCAGAAAGTATAGCTCAAAGAATATTGTTTCCATTAAAATTCTAAGTTACATGTAAAACGCGAATTTAGGTGCGCATATCCTAGAGTTAAAGTGGGTATGCAAACAACAATTTTTACAGTGAAAAGCCTTCAGCACAGCTGACCACGAAACCATTGTGCGGGGAATAAAACAGTACTGACCCCGCACCATTAATGCCATCCTATTTGTCGCAAAGTAAACGTGACCATATCTCTCACTGCATTTGCACACAGTATCATATTACCCTGCACATGCAAATGCATGAGAAAACATCTCAACAGCGAAAAGAAATTAAAATGTAGAATACAGGATGTATTGTGCAGCATGCAGGAAAGTTGTTCATATTTGCAAGGAATGCCGATTATCGTAAGAAATGTGGCAAATTCCAACAGAAACTCTGGCTACAAGATCACAATAACTCTCTGTTACCTTTGAGGTCGAAAAAACCGAGCTAATTCATTTCCATCGGAAGAGAGTGGCAATTGAAACTCCCATAACAATTCAAGGAATCAAATTTCGCCCTAAAAGCGTTGTCAGATGATTAGGAATATGGTTTGATTGTAAGCTATCATTTAAACCCCATATTGATAAGCGAATGCAGCTTGCAAATGGAGCTCTTCTTAGGCTCAAGAACCTTGCTTCTTCAACTAAAGGAATCAAATTCAATCAACTTCGACAGCTTTATATTGCCTGTGTAACATCAGTGCTAGATTATGGCTCTATTCTATGGTATGGGAAGAGCCGATCTCTTTGTCTCATTGAAAAATGTCAGAAACTACAGAGCTGAGCAGTAGTCCTTGTCACAGGAGCTTACTCTAGCAGCCCCTAGAAAGCTTTGGAAGTAGAGGCCGCCCTTCCACCTGTGAAGGTGCGACATCTAAGACTAGCCTACAACTATGCCCTCAGGATACTAAAGATGCAGCCCTTGCATCCAATACAAATGCAGCTACTTAGCTCAGTTCAAGATGAGCTGTCCATAGGTACTGCCATCAGCCTTGACATGATTGATGACCTACAAGAAAACAACACCCAACTCATGAAGATTGGACACCTGCTCAAAGGACTCTCAGATTGCAATAGATTGGAAATATTCAATGCAGAATGGGCACCACCATGGCTAGCAAATCATGTGGATACTAAAATAAGTAATTCTTCTAAGCATGCAGCAATGGATGAGCATATTCTTCTGCTAAAAGACATCCCAAATCATGCATCAATTGTATACACAGATGGTTCCCTAATAAAAAGCAATGGAAGTAGCCTTGGATTTGTGGTATACTTGCCATTCACAAGACAGGTGAAATGTTTCTCTTACAATCTCGGACATACAATGACAATCTCAGATACCGAGACATATTGTATCTTGAAAGCTTTAAAATATGTCATCTCCAATAAACATCCCAGAGAGATCTGGGTCTTTTCTGATAGTCAAGCAGTAATTTAGAGGGTCAGAAAAGCTAGCAACTTTATTTCGCATCAAATAAGGATAAAAAGCCATAAATATCAAATACATCTACACTGGTGTCCAGGCCATGAAGGTATTGCTGGTAATGAGCTAGCAGACAATCTGGCAAGAGTTGGAGCCAAGAAAAAAGTCAAAAAAAGAGATAAATTCACAACAATTGCTTACCTTAAGCAGAAGGCAAAGGAAATAACTCTCAAAGCCTGGCAAAATGACTGGGAGACCCAAGTCTTAAGACAGAAAGAGGGTAGAAGGGCTAAAGGATTGTGAAGGTTTTTGTTGTAATTAAGGGAGTAACATGACTGCATTACAATCAAACTGTTCACATTAGAATAATGTGCACATGCGCCATGGGATATGATTGACCTAAATCATCACTCATTGGTATGACATAGTATTTCCCAATAGATTCCTAATGGTATCTATTGGCGCTAGGATCTCTCACATCCTTCCTTTCTCGGTTAGACAAGGACAGATGTTGGAACATCCACTAGTGTGCAGAACCCCCTTGTTCATGTATATAGAGGAAGGTCCTGTCACGTAGATAAATCAAGCAATTCATACAATAGGAAATTCAAACAATCTCCATATTATTTACACACTTGAGAATACCAGGGAATATCCTCAAGTTCGTCCATTGATCCAAGTCCTAAGAGTATAACTCACGAACTTTACTTCTCTTAAAGCCATAGCTACCTCCTTCCATACCTTCATCCTAACGGTACGTCATTCCAGCTCAGCATAGCCTTTCAATAGTTTTATCAAGTGCAAGCCAGGATAAGATCACCCATAATAAAAATGAGGCCAAACAACTTCAGTCATTATAGTAGAATGATACAATCTTCATTTATACAAGCGAGAACAGGGATTGGAAATACCAGGGCCCATTTATTTCGAATTAAAAAAAGTGAAGGATAACTCTTGCAACTTTTTTTGGAAGGGAAAACAGACTGTTCAACACCTACTTCTTTATGATAGTAAGTTTAAGACTGAAAGAAAGGAAGCTGTTAAAGGCATATTGCCATTGAGATTAGAGATATTGTTTAATAAAAAAATTGGAAAAGAAGCAACTCTCCACTTCCCTCAAAGCAGTGGATGTATGAGTGCATCGAAAGCTGACTGAAAGGGAGGAGACTAGAAGATAAGTAGAGGAAATTGGGATTAAATATTTGTATTTAGATATAAAATAATCAGATGTGACATAGCTAGATAGCTGAATACACTATGAACTTTAAAAAAAAAAAAAGAGATATGGCCTCACAGTCTTCCCATACTCGAGTGAGGTAGGTGTCCAGGCTACCCAGACTTTAGTTCGGGGAGATGACGACATGTACCGATAGTAGGATATAGAGCTTTTTACTTTAGCTCGGACTTTAAAAATTGAACAAAACTAATACCATCATAGTAACCTACACGTCACTTCAAATATCTCCTTACACGTCATGCAAATTACTAGACATGATTTAACCGTCTTGATTATTGCTTAGGTTCCTGCCTAAACCATGACACGGTCAACCCGTAACAATAAAAAGAAACATCTGCGCGATGCAACTTCCACTTAACGAAGAGCCCTTTTTGAAGAATATTTTTGTGAGTGCGTGGAGTCGTGTAGTGAGGCATCGTCAGCTCGAACCATTTACTAATAGCAACGATATGCAAAGTTCGCATCGGATGCCCGATATTCCGCCCCGGACAAAATGCTTCATTGCCTTTGCCTAGAGCAGGCACTACATGACTAATCGTGTAATCACGTGAAGTGGATAATAAGGGAACAGTCATGCGCGCTCTCTCTCTCTGCAGCGACCTCCTAATGTCGCGCAAACGCTTCTCGCTCCGACACAATAGACACTCGGCAAACCAGAGGTCTCAATAAATTCGTCGGTTCAAGAACGGCCAGCCCCGCGACCGAGCTCCCTGAGGGAATGAGAGGATTCCTAACCCGTCTCACTAGATTTAGCACACACACGAATCGGCACGTATCCTCCACCCCCGCGCCGTTGCCGCGCTCTCAGGCCGCAGCCAGCTCATCGAAATCAGCCATGGCCATAGATACAGCGCCTTCAGCGCAGTCCATATCGGATTATACCTCGTGGACGCATGAGCAGTTGGTCGCGCGCGTTGAGCGGCTCGAGATCGAGCTGGCGTCACGCCCGGATAAGCCTTGTCCCGATAGTCCGGGTCCAGGCCGATTCAAAAAAGTGACGCGACTCCCACGAGCCTTTGATCCCTCCAAGTACAGCACGCGACTCGTGGCTTTCAAATTGGCATATTTGGGTAAGCGCTACAATGGGTTTGAGTTCCATGCAAACAATACGACGCCGTTGCCGACGGTGGAAGAGGAACTGTGGAAGGCATTCAAGACTGCCCGACTGATCTTTCCGTCTAAAGGGCAGGCAGTTGGGGATTGGGAAGGCTGCGAGTACAGCAAGTGTGGAAGGACTGATAAAGGGGTAAGCGCGTTTGGGCAGGTAATCGGAGTGAGAGTAAGAAGCAATCGACCACTTGGCCGGAATAGAGGACACCTGGGCACTAAAGTAGCAAGTTTCGCTGACGCGCCAATGGTCGAATTTACACAGCAAGATTCTATGCAAGCGCGAGACGAAGCTTCTGAGTCCTTCAATACCTGGCCCCGACCAAACGCCGTTGAACTCGTATCACAGCCCCTAAGGCCCTCCCAGACCGCACCGGCGCCAGACGAACCCGAGCCTGATGACGAACATGACTTAAACTTCGATCCCATCGCCGATGAGTTGCCATACGCAGTTATGCTGAATCGTCTTCTTCCCCCGGATATTCGTATTCTCGCCTGGTGCCCAGCGCCACCCCTAGGATTTTCTGCCAGATTTTCGTGTCGAGAGCGACAGTACCGGTACTTCTTTACACAGCCCGCATTCAGCCCAATCCCATGTCACCTTGACCCATGTTTTGCGCCCTCATCGAACGCTAGAGATGGTTTCCTTGATATTGAGGCGATGCGCGCTGCTGCTAAGCTCTATGAAGGTCTCCACGACTTTCGAAATCTCTGCAAGGTCGATGCGAGCAAACAGATTGAAAATTTCGAGCGCCGTATCTTCCATGCTGATATAGAGGAAGTTTCTGATGCAACTTCAGTGCTCGCCTTTCTAAATTCTCCGAATTTCTATCCCTCAACATTGCCATCGCAACAGCCGGGCTTTCCCAAGCTTTATAGCTTCACACTACACGGCTCAGCTTTTCTGTGGCACCAAGTTCGCCACATGGTTGCTATTCTGTTCCTCGTTGGCCAAGGCTTGGAAAAGGCATCTATTGTGAGCGAGCTCCTCGATGTCGCTCGGAATCCGCGCCGGCCTATGTATGAGATGGCAGCTGAAACACCACTGGTGCTGTGGGACTGCATCTTTGCTCATGAAGATGATTCATCGCGAACAGATGCACTGCAGTGGGTATATCTAGGTGATTTATGCGGTACGGGCGATAGCAAATTTGGTGTACCTGCAGGTGGTTTGGTCGATGATCTGTGGCGGGTTTGGAGGGAGCGAAAGATTGATGAAGTACTGGCAGCAAACTTGTTAGGGCTAGTTGTGCGGCAGGGTGTGAGCGTCGATCGATTGACAGCGCGACAGAACGGAAGGGGCCGGAGTCAGCGAGTTTTTCAAGGCGGAGATGCGCCGAGACTGCATGGCTGCTATAGACCAGTCATGCAAAAACCTCTGATGGATAGCGTTGATGTGACGAATGAACGGTATGCTCTTCGGAAAGGGTTTGAAAGCGCTGCCGATTTGAAACAACAGGGATTCCGGAGGCTAAATAAGCCTGGACCTGATCATGATCATACTACATAGACAGCTGAAGAATGCTGAAGCTCCCCGTTCCACGAAATACATAGATAAATGGCGCGATGTAAAAGCCCTTTTGTCCAGGTCTCCCTTTGTCTTGTCATACCTCAATCTTTTATCTTTGTAAGGCCTTCCCACAGGCAGGCCCGGCTTTCTCTCCATACCTGTTCGAGCGCCTGTCGCCGCGGTAGGAGACGAGGAAAGACGACCAGCAGTTCTGATTCCCCTTCCACCACCACCACCAAGTAGTAGCGCACGGCGAAGCCATAGAAAGCTTCATTAATCAGGATATCTTGGATCTTTTCCATGGGTACGAAGCGCGTCGTGCAGCCGCCACCAACTAGGCAGCTGGATGACGAAGTCTGCACGCCGAGACCGCGCAGCACGAGCAGCGATTCGTGACGCTCGAAGTGCCGCGCAACAACATAAAGCGCGAGGATGGCAAGTGGGAGGAGTAGATAGAGGGGCAGCCGCGCGGCTAAGAGCGCGCCGTACTGGCCGCCGCGAGAGTGTGCAGCCTGCAAAACGTAGTGCCAGAAGTAATCGCTCATGCTAGAGTTGCGCGGCTCGTCTGCGATAATAGGGTCAAGCTGCGAGAGCGGTGACCTGTGGAAGAGAACAAGAAGGACGCTGAGGCCGAGCCCAAGGCGAACGAGCGTTGTCAGTGCTAGGATGAAGTGACGCAGCGGATGACTTGAGGTTGGGGATGTTGATACAGTGAACTCGATGGTAGTTGGCGAAGGGCAGCGGATGCTAAGGTTTGGGCGAGAGACAAGCATTGGCCGTGATTAAGAGGCTGTCTTGGTGAGAAATTCTCGATCGTCCTTAAGAGGGGTATAGCGCGAAATGGGAAGAAGTATTGTGTGGGATGTCAGATTTCATGCCAATGTGTAGATGGCAGTCAGTGCCTGAGATTCAATTTCACAGGAGAGGCAGTGGCAGGTCCGAGCTTTTAAGTCTGAGCATGCGGCAATGTCGGCTTATAAAGATCTCATTAAGAATTGAAGACTACTGAAACTGTCATCAGAAAATTACCTTTTTAGAGATATTTGCTTGAAGTAAACATGCAAGTTATGGAATTCAAATAGTGTCAATTTCTACAGGTAAAATCTCATACTATTTGGAATCGGGCCTGTCACTACGTTACGCGTGCTTCCATCGATGAAATTGCCTTAATCGCCATTTTGCATGTCATGACTACACATGTCTCGAATGTGAGACTTTTCTCATCGGCATCATAAGGGGCCTCGAAGAACTCAAAAACCCCGTTATAATTCTGTTCTCTCTCCAAATCCTACGTACTTCATGCCATAAAACCTACTTCCTGATGAATAGGCATTAAAGACAATCCTAGCCATTTACTATTCACCGGTATCAATTTCTAAGTCGATCTGTACGCCATTGCTAACCCCGTAATCCTCCAGCGTCAATTGGTCTTTGAATGGTCGCTCACCCTGTCTCTTAAGCATAATTTCATGCGGCTGCCTACCGATCCTTGCGGCGACCTGTGCCTTGAAGAGGCGTATGGGATCCGATGCAAGACAGGGAATTGCAGCGCGAGTTCCGAGTCGATCGTTGACATGGACAATAATCATAGGTTCCGCATTGTTTGGCGGAGGTCGCACCGGCTTCATCTCAGCCTTTGCTCGATCGTCTGGCTCGCGTCTATAAATTTTCGCCGTGCCTGACTCCGCAACGGTTTTGTAACTTTGTTTATCGACCTCTATAGAACGGCCGGTGTGGCTAGATTGTGCGTTTGATCTCTCGGTACCATATTCACGCCGAGGTGAACGTGAAGGGGATCGATTTCGGTAGCCTCGCTCGAGTCGACGTCCGCGGCTATCTGACTCATCACTACTATGAGGCTGTTTAACCTTCCATTTGAATCCTCGACCCCGATGGCTTTGCTCTTGTTCGCGGCGGTGCCTGTTTACCCGATCATCGTTACGTCGCGGCGAGCGACTTCGGCTCCGTCGAGGTACATAATGATCAGTCCTACTCTCTCTTCGGTCTCTTCGTGGCGAACGTGAAGTCGAGGTGCGATTAGGCATGATTTTGTATTTGGATGCAGTGATGAGGTGTGATCTAAGGAATGACAAGGATAGTATCTTTAATCTCTCGACCTGTGTAAAGATAAGCTGCTGTCATTTGTTAGACGAAAATACATGCAATCCTTTTGGTGAAATAGTAGCCTACCCCGAAAAGAGCGGCTTATCCGCTTTAGTTTATTTGAAATTCAGGGTCCTGACGGTTAGCTCAAAATATCCTTTGGGGTTACGAGGCCGAGGGGGCCGACGAGGATCAGTGCATACAGATCCAACTTTTTCGCATCATTAGCAGCGTATCCAAGACTAGACTAAATGAGAGAATGGGGCCGATAAGGTGTTGAACGTATGCGAAAAGCCTACCAAAGCCTTAGCTGTTCGACCCTTAAAGTATCGTATGACTCAGCGGTAGGATGTCTGGACTGGTCTCCCGAGTAGAACCTGAGTAGCTCGGAAACACGATTATCTCGAGTTCGAATGCAATTGACCTATCTACTTCATGTGTAAATCAACATGTGTGAAGTTGGAAAAACTAGTGTATATGAATAACTTTATCGCTTATTCCTCAGTCGGGGACTAAAGGATGAGGTCGGGGTACAGAGCTCGGCCCATTTTTGTAGTGATATTGAAGAATACGATCTATTTTGAGCGTGATGCAATTTTGTCATTGTTATTACTTGACATGTATGCAGCTATCCAGTTGTGATACATCAACAGCACTATGTGTATGTGTTAGGTGAGTCCTTCGAGGATAGAGACACTCATACCTTGAAGTTCGTTCGCTAATATCATTATAAGATACGTTTTTACACGCTCAGAACAGACAACTCGCATCCCTTAGTATCCGCCAAAGGGGTATTCAAAGCCCTTGATTATCGAATCACGCCTAGCCAATCTTTGCACTCCAACACCGCAAAAAAAGGGTTGAGTTCTGCCGGATTCAAACCAACAATCTCCCGCCAAAATGTGAAATTTATGTAAGCTATCTAGACCTTGCCTAGGAGACCGGCCTAGATGAGGTATCACCGCACCATACAACCATGGCGGTATATAAAGTTTCACCTCCACTCTCGTAATCGAAGTCTTTTTTGGAGGACAACTATTGATTGCAAGGCTAATGACCAAAACTCTATAGATAAAAATTACTGGTAGCCTGAAGTACTGTAAAACAATTACGAATATTTCAGTGAGCTAAGCCTTATGAAGCTTAGACATGGTACTATATCACCAGCATCAAGATAAAGCGCACCAGTCGCTCGAATCTTGCAAAATTCAAACTATAGATACTTTTCTACCAGGCTAATTCGAAGGCATCTTGGAAGTAGCCATATGAGTTCGGCAGCCCATGACTTCAAGACATGCCTTTTAGGTGAGCTCCAAAATAGGGCTCAGTAAATAGCACGATTGGAGGGCAAGACTGAACACCTGTACGCGGTGTCCTCTACGAACCTGGGAGTGAAATATTTTCCCCAGAGCCAAGTTCAGACAAATTTCGCAATACCGAACAAGTTGGCCTACGAGGCATTGATTCAAAATACTCCACCACATTAATTTTCTCTCCAAAAGAGATCAACTCCTACCTAAGCCTCATCAAGTCTACAAGTACGACCGAGTACATCCTCACTCCAATGACCACATCTCTCGTCGACTTTCTCTGGCCTCGCCCGGTCGCCAGATACATGCCCACGCCGATATTTATACCCGACGGAGAACACAAAGCGTGGCGCACAAATCTGGAAGACAGTTCTTTGGGATAGACGTGGGTGGGATCAGGACAAATTGATAAGATGATGCAGAGGATGAATACATTCTTGACGGGCGTGAAATCTCGAATTTTGGCAAAGAGTTTTTATAAATTGAGCTTTGTATGTGCCAAGTCTTCGTTTGCGAGAGTGCAGGCAACACTATCAAAACTGCCATGGTTGGATGGTTCAGTGGTACATCTTCTTGGCCTGTCTGCCAAGTAGAGTCTGGATAGCTTGGACACATATCCCACTCGAGACAGTAGATCGCTGGTTCAAATCCGGCAAAATACAACCACTTTTCTCGCGGCGCTGGTGTACATGGATGACGAAGGCATGCTTAGATAACCAAAGGTTTTGATATTCCCTTTGGTGGGTACTTACGGAGGAGGGTTGACTGTTTGTATAAGCGAACATACCTCATAGTGGTATTTGCAAATGAAATCCAGAGTATGAGTGTTTCCAACGTCATAAGAGTCATCCAATATGTATACATAGAACCGGTCATGTGTCATAGCTCCATAGCTGAATACACATTAAATGTTTCAAAAAAAAGTAGCACGATTTTCGCAAGCAACTCCGACTGGTCAATATCGTATACGGTACAGTGCTTATTGACTGCGTGAAGAAGACATGCTTGCACAATAAAATCTTTAAACCCTCCTAATGGCAGCTACTCATTGACGAGGTCAGTCAGCCATTTCACGTAAGGGTAATGCCTAGTGGTATTCACAACTGAAACCCCCAGGAAAGACACCTTAAAAGCTAGGATTATCCAATTTTCACATCTGACACCATTCATGCGCGTTAGCCACCTTTCTGAGTGCAAATTAAAGGCTGGAAGAGAAGAGAGGTTGGAGAAAAGCATAAAAATCCCTTGATGTCTCAAACCATCACGATCAATGTGCGTTGCTAGTCTTGCCATTGTGTCAACCCAGCCTGCTCTCGCCGAAATCTATGTAGCAAAAATCTCTGAGCCGATACGAAGATTGTTGTCATTGTGGGCTCATGCTTAAACACCTCACCTAGCCATGATGCTCACAGTCTATATGGTGTCTTCCTGATCACCATAACTTACGAGCTAGCTTCGTCAAAGCTTGTGAATTATGTGAATCGTATTTTCTTGACGCAATGATCATGAGTTCTGTACATATTAAATATTTGAAGTAAAATCGGTATAAAAGTTAATATCTCTACTCTAACCTGGCGTAGCCTTAATTTCACTTCTAAACTTTAAACCTGTCGTAGTTTTCCATACCGACTATGGTACGTTCAATCAGCATTGTTTTTTATTTGAACTGGAATAGATCGTAAGCTAATAATCCATGTCCGCTATGGGTCCAGGACCGGTGGAGTTGGCGAAAATCTCTGTGTACAGGCTCAAATTATTCCAACCGCGTGGACTCACAGAGAAAGCGCAGAGTTAATTACAAACCCTAAATCAAAAACGGAAATCAAATTTGAAGAATTTCCATGTTCGACTAGATCCCATGCTTCTTGCCCGTTTAGTTTCCTGTTGCATCTTCCCAGTGACTTTTCCTGATCTTCACTGAGAGCGATAGATAAGCTCGCATATATCTCCCGTGGTCGGCCGGTTACATGCTATGTACTATTAAAGTCTTCGTATACTTCAGTAAGGGCCATCACACCCATATGCTTCTCTGAAGTCCGAAACCCGATCCCTCCACCATGGAGATATACTTTGCGTTGGCGATAATAGTCGCTTCCGCTCTTTTTACCGCAGCTATCGTGCGAACCACTTCCGAGAACCTAGTCTGCTCGACCCTTCGAATCACCGCGAGCTGCTCTTTATCTACAGTTCCCCACAGTTGCGACATCGAGTGAGAGCCTTGCACTCAGCTTACAAGTGCATATCTAATCCGCAGTTTCAACAGGCCAGAGCACGGGGGCAGCCATGGGTGGCGTGAAAGCCCAGAAAGCGTTTGCACAGTTCAATTTGTCGACGAAGTCGGGAAAGCTTCGCAGATCCAGAGTCGTCAAAAAGTCTGAATCCATGTGGTGGCTTGGATTCATGAGGAAAGAGCGCCTGAAGATTCTAGCAGAGCTCAGGGTTTGCAGGTTCCACGGGGACGAACAGTGAAGGGAACTAATTTGGTCACTCGCATGACTTCGTCAGCAACCATATTTGCTTTAATGGCGATGAACCTGTGAGTGTGTGTCTTGTCACCAGGTTGATGGCGACTTTCATAGCAACTAAATTTGATGCTGGTTTCAAATTGATTTCAGAGTCCCTGCGTAGGGCGGACGAATCAAGGGGTTCTCTCCGAGCGACTTCGTTCCTTGCTGTAAACGCAATGCCGTTTTTCACCCACTAGAACAACGTTATATTCTTGGCTAGAGTTACGAGTAACTGCGATACCGCTAATCTTATATTAGCCGGCGATAGGATCTAGCGAGGATGGTCTAGAGCGAGGCTTAGAAATAGTCGCGCATCGACATTTGTGTTCGGATTGGAACTGTTTGCTTTTTGGGCGGGCAATGCTGTCTTCACTAATGTCGATGGTCCGGTGTTGCGGCCTAAGCTGGCTCGAGCTACCGTATCCCAAGTGGACTTGAGGGCCGGAGCCTAGGTCGTCGGAGGCTTTGGAACCCTGATATCTTGAGGACTCGGCGAAAGAGGATTGCTGGGGCGAGCGGGAAGAAGTGGTGGTTTACTTCCTGGCCCAGATTATTCGAATTTCCGATGGCCGTTGGTAAGTAGGCTTTGATTCTGTCTAGGCTCTTTATTCTCACCCGTCGAGAGTGGTGAAAGTGCTGCTTCTATACTGCTTGCTGCGGTCGAGCAAATCGATAGGCGGGCCTTCATTTGCACCGTACGACGCCTTTCGGCCTCCATCATAGTGTGTAGCTCTCGCGGAAATTCTCACCTGCAGGCATCTTGTTCGCATTGTTGGAGCATGTAACATGCGCTTCCATTACTGATAGCTCGATACACCGAGTTAAGTCCAGTTTTGCCATTGTGGCAAAAAGCGACGGACAAAAAAAGGGAATTCTAGGTGCCTTCACGGAATTGGCGAGTTTCAGCGCCAAAATCGAACCATATTCGAACCTTATCGTATTCCACATACCTAAAGTGCCAGTAAAGATTATCACACTGAAAGCCACTGAGACTATCGACGCAAACCGAGTCTCTGTAGAGATTGCTAGAGAGATCTAAAAAGAGCTAGTACAGGTGCAGCGACATGAGACATACCGTCCTGGTGCGCCCACTCGTAACTGGCATGTCTTTTTCCTCGGGCGTTCGCGCTTCATGCGGGCTTATGCATCTTCGAAGAGTCTGGAATGGCTACAAAGCTCCAGCCTCGATATCAAATCAAGCAGCGTCGAATGGTCACGTGATATCACGTGTCTGATGCGGGATTCACGATATATATATAATTATTAGACCCGGTAGGAGTCACCTATCCTCTTTGTAGACAGTCTCAATCACCAGGTTAGATCACGTCAATCTATCCTATGACCTTTACCCTGATAGGCCTAGCTTATCTGGCCCGATAACCAAGGTGAAATAGGTTTTCACTCGAAAGGCCAGTCAAAGAGAGTTTGCTGCAGTAGCTCGAGCAAAGGCCGCCGCAAGTAAGGCCGAGTCAGGAGGTCAATCTACCTCGAAAGATTCGTTGATTTTGGGAGGACTTAGCTTCATAGCCTTGGACCTAGAATAACAGGAATGAGGCGCAGTAAGCGCTTAGAAATAGCCAGTGATGGCCTAAAACAAATTTGAAGAGGGACCGAAAACTATAGAGGAAACCCGTTGGCTCACCTCCAGCATTCAGCGGAGATGAAAAGGGATTTTGTCACGTAGGAGATGTGACAGACGAGATAATTTGTGAGTATTACATTGTCTGGATCCAACACGAGGGAATCTTTCATTTTTCGATTTGTCTTAGTTTTCTGGGGTTTGCTTTTTGCTTCTAATCTGCTGCAACTTTGGCAGTGATTGACGTAGTGGAAATAGGTTGAGCGTATCATAGACATGGTCTTAACTGTGAACATCAGTCTTTCATCCTCAGGGGATAACTGATATATCGTAGGACCTTAAAATTAACACAAACATACAGATGCTTCATTCCACCTAAATGACCGAAACAATGCCAACACCCATCTATGTATTGAGGCATGACGGATCCAGCAACACAGAATAAAAAAAAAGAGACTATTGGCCTTTATCTGGGTACCCTCACTTCCTTTCGTTCTAATAAAGTAGTCGTTAAGTGGTGAAGTCGTAATTCTTCTGCTAACTAGAATCTGGTGTATCATACTACTCACTTGAGCTCAAATACTATGATCTCGTGCAGAGGACGAAGACTGAACACCTGTCAGTGGTGTCCTCTACGAACCTGGGAATGAAACATTCTCCCAGAACCCAGATTCATTCACGACAAAGGGTGAATTTGAGAGTTTTCATCGAGTTGGCAATCGGGAGAAGTAGTGTTGGCTTGTTTTTGGTCGAATATCCGACTTGCAGAGTTCTCACGACTGCACAACTCAACGAAATTAACCATCTACACCCCAGATACGAGCCGCAGACAGGCTATAACCTGTCTGATGTTCGTATTACAACACCGACACCTTCAAGATCTTATTTTCTATTTCTCTGGAAAATCATTCCCGGCCAAGCTCAACTCGCGGCCCTCTCGACAATTATCTCACCACCTACTTAAGCAATCTCATACCTCCAAAAGCCAACAAATAAGCAAGAAGATGTCCGACTCCTCGCAACTGCCAGTCACTGTGAAGGTACGGTCGAAATACCGGCCTTAAATGCGTCCTCACCTCGGCCAAGGGCACCAACAACTCGACATACGACGAATCGCCACCGACGAAATACATACGACATTTCGTCGGCACACCAACTAGAGCATTCGACAAAGGCTGGGATACCGCTGCCTTGGTCTTGAGCTCTCGGTCAAATTTTCGACCTCCACGGTTAGGGGTACGGCCGCGACGGGGCAAGGCCGGAAAGGTGGACATTCAACAAAGTTTCTGGGATGACGAGATCGGCTGAAGGATAGAGAGGTGCTACATGAAGGATCAAAAGGGAATACAAACTGAGGAGGCCTTGGTGGGCGACTGGATGAGGCCTCCAGTGAAGAAAACGACTCCTGGATCAGATGAGGAGATGCTGAGGTGAGCCAAAACTGAGAATGAATGGAAGGGAAAATTTACAGATGGCGAAGGTGTCAAGGGCTCGGGCGCGTGGTGGCCGAGGCTGAGGACGAATTTGCGCTTCGGCGCGCAAAAAGGGGGTTCTCTGGACGGTTGGGCTTGACATGATTCAACACATGAGTGAAGTCTGAGGTGGTCCGGTCATTCAGGTGGGACGAGGTAGATGTACTTAATGGTAGTTAACCTGATCCAGCCAGGCCCCACCTGTGCTTAAGCTCCAGCAGGAGTGCAGCGGGAGTTACTTTACCTAGCACGTAAATGAACAAAACAAGAAAAACAATGATCTCGTGCCAGATTACAAAATTTTGCGTGACTTCTGAGAGCTCCATTCTCACATAAACATTCCACGCGAAGACCAGACCATCATGATCAGAATACTGTAAAACAATACCCTTACCAGAGCTCTCAGATGTTGTGCCACGCAGCCTCAGTTTGCTATTAAATACCAAGGGTGGGAGAGAAAAGCTACTAAAATTTATTAAATCAAGTAACTGTATTAATTTACCAAAAATAGGAGACAGCTTAATTTCATGTAGGAATACACAAGAGGGTGTGCCTAGAATGTACTAATATAATTTGCACAAATGGATATAAAATGAGTAAAAGAATTTGGAGAAAAATGTACCTGTTGAAGGGCAATTGTAATTTAGAACATTTATTTAGATAGAAGTGTCATAGCCCTAGAGCTGCATACACAAAGAAAAAAAAAAGAAAAAAAAACCCTTACCAATATTCTGGATCAGCCACCACGTGCCTCAGCATCGTCTCATATTTATTACAATTTAATTGCGATAACTAATGTCTTCCCTCTTACAAAATTCCAGGCACTGCCACTCCTCCATCGCCCCAATTTTGACCTGTGTAAACTCCGCTGTCCTAGACATTCGCTTTGAACAGTCGCCGGCCATTTTTACCGAGCAGCGTTTCCAGCGCCGGTGCCCTTCGCCTCCCACTCTTTAGTCGCCATGAGGACAGTACATTTCTGCACTGGAAGATATGGGACAGCCGGCATTGGATATAGCCGCTGTTGGAATACTTCAAGTAGACGGGTTTCGTGTAAAGCTTGCTGTAACAATATTAGCAACAAGTAATTATTTTCTACCTAAATCTCTCAAAAGGAACAACTAATATTTACATCTAAGGCATTTGCTTATTCCCAGCGCTACTCTACAACAAAAAACGCTATCCAAATAGGTCACGTGGTGTAACACCTAACTATTATCAGACAGCTGCTGTTGTGCAACGACTATAATTCTAATGTGACATGTTGAGGGGTATTGTTGAGGATATGTATTTTGTGCCTACGTTTCCAAATTTCGGTCGCGTACAGTAGCTCACTGTAAATTTTGGAAAAGATCTCTAAGCACAAATTCATCTAGAACAAAATTTAAGTCTATTGGGATTAAAATTACTAAACGCTCAAGGAGATATGTTCACGAATTTATTCTCATAGTTCATCTTTGTTAGACAAATCATCGTTCTTTTCGCCTGCTCCCTCTTCGTCATCATCGTTCCCATCAACTATTCCCAATATTTTCCGTGTCTGGCCCGGCGCATCGATTATCTCGATTTTCCACCCCTTTTCGTTCGCCAGCTTCTGCACTTCTTTCCTCAAAGTCTCAATCATTTCAGGATCTAGGTCCAGCTTCTTCAAATCAGCCTCTGTTGCTACCTCAACCTGCCCTCCTTCTGTCTTGCTCTTTGCTCGTGCAATTATTTCTACAATGGCATCGTCTTGCTGAGAAAATTCATCGCTAAAATCATCAGGAATCGGCATACGCTCCGAATCGATATTAATCCACTTTCCGGCGCCTAATACGATACCACCAACTATTTTAGGGGGTTCCACAGTCTCTGCTTCCGGGCTTTCAGGACCTAGTTGGGTTCCGGCTGCCTGTAGCTCAACCATCTTAGCAAGGTCCTTGTCAGGGACAACAGTGTGGCAGGTAATTGTATGTGCCTTATTTTCCTTGGGTGGTAGAAATGCAACATCGTCGCAAAGACGGGGAGTGTAAATGGCCATTAGGTATGAACATGTGACGAGTTCTTTAATATAACCGATACGATCCGTAGCTGTAGGGCTGCAGTGGAATTGAACTTCAATCTTTCGAGGTTTACCGGTTAGATCACAAATTGTCCCACCTTCTAGTCTCTGGACAAGGTACCTTGTGCCCCCCTTGGCTTGCAACTCCATTCTAGGCGTCGACTTTCGTGTATTCATCTCAGCATTCCGATTACTCTTCTTCCATGATATTGCCCGATCATTATCCTGCGTCGTGACTCTGCCAAGTACGAATTGCTTTGTACTTGGGTCCCGCTTAGGTGGACCTATTTTACCGGGCTGAGGGGCCAATTGATGGAATTGGGTAACTTCAGAATTATGACAAAAGCTGTAGCTCCACCATCCTGAAATAAAATAGAGGCATTCGTCTTCAAGCTCTTGAAGGAGTTCCCAGCCTCGAACCGTAGCCCTAGCCAACTCCTGACGCTCAGCGGCTCGAGTTTCCTGCTCTAAAGTTTCATTGCGCATAGGGGTCTCTAGCAGGGGAATTTTGCAAAGATAGGGCTCCTGGTGAAAATATATGAGTTCATGGCTCACATGCAAGTCGGAGTTGGTAGATTTGGGCTCGTCGGTCTGGTCCGAGAAAGATGTGGTAGACTCGGATGGTTTAGAAGATTGGGGTAGAGTTAGTGGTGATGTCTTGGAGAGAAGCGCAGAGGCTTCTGTATTCGAGATATATGTCTCAGAGATAACTATCTCATACTGCTTAAAGATTAGCCAGCTCGTCTTAGCTCGTGCACAAGAGCTTATGTTCACCTTGGGGAATGCTAGTAGATCATCGTAGACACTGAATATAGCAGGGCTAGCATTTATTAGTTGAAATACAGAGAGAAATATGGATACAGCGGAAAGCATGGTGTTGAGTGGGCAATTGAACTTGTTGTCATCTTCAATTACCTGTACCAACGTTTTCGGCCAATAGTCGGAGGAAAAGCCTTGTCTGGCTTTATCATTGGCCACGAATGTCACATGTTTCGAAACTATGATCCACTTAAAATTTATTCCATTAATAACCTTTGGCAATTTTGGAATGAGACAAATATATCTACTAATGAACAAACAGGGAGCACAAAGATGAACTTCAATGACACACCCTTTAACATCCACCGTAACTTAAACAGGGCCCAGAGTAGTGTCGCCATTCAGCTAAGAAGCGAGTGAATCTGGCTCAATTCCTACATGTGCAGAAGAAAAGTACCTAGAGTAGAAGAGCCAAGCTGTCGATGTAAATATTTGTCACAAAACATCAAGAACATGGTGTTGGCGTGTCCGCAGTGGGCAAACGGAAGAGGCGACTTTCTCCGACAACCTAGAGATAGGTCATTTGAAGCAATGATAAACAGCCCAGAAGTTTTGGCTAGAATCACAAAGTGGATACTAAGCAAAGGATGGATAAAACAGTTTCGACTTTCAGGAGAAGTTGAGGTAGCAATTTCGGATATAATAAATCGATCTGGAAGGGGAGAGGACGGAATCCACACTGGCTGAACAGTGTACACTGCACTTCTGAAGGTAAACTAAATAAATTGATAGGAATATAAAAAGACAGGATCAGGGGGTTTTCACCAAATTGGTTTCCTCCTTTTTAAATAATGAAGATAATTACCTGCATGGACCCATATGGCGTCTAATCTGGTTAAATGAAATCGAATTCATAACTTTGGCAATTTCACATTATCATTGTTTAGACATTGGAGTATTTACATTATCATTATGAAGGTAAATTAATTATATTCAATACATAAAAACCAAACAAGTTGCCACTGATGAACTTAATTCAATCCTGATCAAGGAGCGGGCGATCAGATTAACCCGATGAAATGAAATCTGTACATGCAATAATGGTAGTGTGGCACAAGAAAATATTGCTGATAACCAGTAAACTCAGGGGAAACTAAGGTCTCATCGGTTAATAAGTTTCCCAACGGAATTTCTGACTCGTGTAGTTTAAGTTATTCGTGACAATATTTCTAACATAGACATTTCATACACGCTTGCTCTCCAACGCCGAATGATATTTTTAAACCCCGTTGGCGCGTTAACATGGGTAAAAAGAAGGTCAGCTAAGACGGTCGTTATGCATTATATTACATTAAGACTTATTGATGAGTGCAGCACTATCAGCTCGATCAAGACAAAATAGGGGTATAATAAACTGAAGCCAAGTAATCGCGCATGCTCAATCATTTTCGCTACCAGCCCGGAAAAGAATGAAATAAGTAGGAGAGCAAAAGAATCATAATTTGACCGTAAATAGCTTAATTTCGTTTATTTTTTTCGAAGATGAAGCCTCCACTCAGCTCGGGTTACTCTCATTAAAATCTCTTCGTCTTTAATAGGAATCCAGCTAGTTAGAAGCTTCATTGAATTCTCAAAGTCGCTTTCTAAGAGGGTCTCTCTATTTGCGTCGATTAAAGCTGCACTTGTTGCGTGAATAATAGAGAGACCGGAATCTATATTAGTTCTCTCTGGATTATGGGTAGGCTCTGAATCACCGAGAAGCATGAAAACATCCCATACACGTAATTGGGCCGCGAATGGGATTGAGTGATGAAAGATAGTAAGGTACCATCGGGTGCCATATACTGTGGTTTCGACGTTTAATTCTTCCTAAATTCAGTTAGAAATGCTCGTTCTTGAGGGAGGTGGTGCTCACAAATTTCTTCGTGATAGCAGGATCGCTGATCCATTCCTTGCGGAATTGTTCGAGGGCATCAATTAGTCCCCCGAATCCAGGTTCGTATAACTTGTCCATACCACGCAAAGTCCAGAGCCGAACTAACATTATAAAAGCTCTCTCTTCATCATAATAACAGAGAAGAGTTGCGGCCAATGAAGCCATTCCTTGCACATAGCCAGTTTTTGGAAAGTATAGAGAGAATGAGTGCAAGATTCGAAAAAGTAGCCTCTGCCCACCTTGATAACGTTTCCGAAACATGATATGGCTGCTGATTGTACGAGGGACGTCAACGTCAATTTGTACATCGTCAGACGAACTCTCATGCAAATACTTGTGGAAGGATTCAATTATTTGTTCCTCTGACGCACTATCTTGTCTTTGTCTGGCAGAGTTTCTGAGAAATGAATACCATGCCACGGAACGCCATCGATCAGGGATACCTTTCCAGGTTCTCTTTATCAACTTTGCAGATTTAATATCAAATTCGTAATCCATACCCTCTGCACCTCTGGCAGGGACAATAATTCTAGACATCTTTCTCCACTTCTCGGACCTGTCCCATTCCTTTCTCTTGAGATTTTCAACGACTCGGTCGCTTTCTTCTTCGGTCGGATTTGATGTTTTTGGGGCAAGACTGAGCATTCCCGCCGCCTCATCAACTAATCTCTTATCTCGATTTCCCGGTAATCGATTTTTAGCCACACGAATCCTTTCACTAGTAGTCGGCTGAGCTTGAAGGGGTTCCGGTGAATGGGGTATGTTTGACACTGGTATCTTAACAGAGGATTTGCGATGTGGCACGTGCTTAATAGTTGTTACTACCGAGGTTACTCGGTCTAGACCCCGTCTTTTGCGCGGGGTTTGTGTGCCTGATTGAAAGACTCCAGACGTAAGACCGTGTTGAGGAAGTGTCAACCTAGATGATTCAATATTGCTTCGGCTTTTGATTGTAGTTATGAAGCCGTATCTATCAACTTCACACTTATCCATGTCGTCTATTTCTTCGCTAGCGCCCTGATGATAACATTTATTTGCTTCTACCACATCTTGATTTTTACGCGAAAAACTAATGCACGAGCTTACAGACTTAACACTGTTAATCTAGTTAGATGATACCCGGGTTTTAGCGACGAAGAGGCATGATTCATGTCGACTAACCTGTTAGATCTTTTTCCCACACCTACTAAGTTGTTAGTACCCAGAGACATGGAGTTTCTGCGTTCGGACCAAGTTAGCATAGATCTTCTTTCGTACATTGATCTAACGCGTTGCGACTCTCGTTGAACATGAGCACTTAGATTAGTGGTATCTGTTGTGTTAGAGCCGTCAAATTGGCTCATGGGTTCGTCCTGAGCTGAAAGAAAGTCGTCTGACTTGGACTCTTCCAGCATGACTGAGCCTCGCTTAGAGAAGGCGACTTGATCCATGAAATCATCCTCCATCCAACACTCTGTCGGAATTTCGGTTAGTATGTGAGTGAATTTTTCCGGCAAGACTTTTCTTCTTTCGTCAGCAAGCTTGGCTCTTAATTTTAGTCGCCATTTAGAGTCTGATCTCTCGAGGCGTCCGGGATATGGAGAGCTTAGTCTTGAATTTGTCGGCGATAGGTTAGTGGTGGTATCTTGACACAATGAATCACCACCGGTGTTACTGTTGAGGCGTTCTTCTATTTCAGAAGGTGCTACGCTTAGACGGAAAGGAACACCAGTTTCAGCAGCTAAACTTTCTTCAAGGCGGCTATTCATAGTATTAGCCAACCCACTATCTCGTTTTCTCTTTTCGCCTTCGATATCTTCGCAGTTGGGACGAAGGGCAGGATGTACGTCAGTAGGTGGCAAAATCGGTGGCGGGACTGTGACGGCGATGGGAGGCTTTGCCTTTAATGCTTCTTCGTAGCGCATAGTTAACATGCCCTTATCTTCTCGTGTTTGGGTTGTGGGTGTAATCACTAGAGAATGCCTTTTTCGCAGCGATGTTGATGAGCGTGTCTTGATAGAAAAGGAGGCCATAATTGCATTATCGTGCCTGGGTTTAAAATGTCGGACGTTTATCGTAGCTAGTCCGCAGTCGTAAGTTCAGTGGAAATGAATACTCTCTGTTGACGATACTATGGGCATGGAATGGCTGACGGCGGGGTATATGGATAGCCAAAGATTAATGTGGGTGATTCGTGAGGGAAGGTCGACCTTAACATTTGCTTTGTTGGAGCTCTAAAATTGGGGAGGTTGGTTGGGGGGGGCTTGAAGGATGAAAAAATAGTAACAGGGATGTTACTTCTTTCGAGTTTGGCCATTCAGTCAATCAGAGGAAGGGTGGAACAAGCTAAGACAGCCGTCCAAATGGATAATGGGTAGTAATAGAATGGTGGAGGTGATGGAGAGGATTGTATGTAGACGCTATCGTTACTTGCTAGAGACATGCCGCGTTGTGGGCACCCTGTCACTCTCCATCTTTCGCGATGGGAAGGTCAGGGGGAGGATGATAGCCGTCAAGTCAACGGCTGCGGACAAGTCAAAAACAAGGCCGAAGACTGCCCTAAGGCTGCAGTTGATAAAAATCTTAGAGCAGGTCGGATCTACATCCTCTGCAGTCGTATCCAAGATACCTCAGCAACCCACTGCCAATTTCTCTTTGCCCATGCTCCTACCAATCTTTACTTCTGCGGCTAAACAGATCCCTTAGCCCAACTACCCTCCTTCCCGTAATGTAACGTTGAGGTCTTCCATCTCCACTTAGACCCAGACATCCCCAAAATTTGGTGCTTCTGATCCTGAAAGTAGTTTCTCAAGAAAGAGCTGCTAAATAGCGCTCTCTTTTCAATCAGTGTGTGCCCTTAACGTGTAACAATTGACTGTTTTAAACTTAGTATCAAAGAATTTATATCAGCTTAAATGGTTTTTTTTCCGTGAATTTGATATCGAAGGTTAAGTTTTTTTCTGTCCCAGTCTGCTGACCCTGGAATCGTCTACAGCCGTTCTTGTGAACATTATCACTCTAATTTTCAGCGGTACTATTGATTCACGTGACATTATAAATAACAATATCAAGGTATTTGAATCGGGTCGGCAGCCATCGAGGGAAATCGATCCGTTGTCTGTGGAAGCTGCATTGCCTTCACTGCATTACATGGTCATTAGAGACTGGTATTGGATCCGCAAGTTGAAAATATTTGGTTCTCCGACGATCACCAGCTATCTGGGCGCATGTCTCAATTCTGCGATCGCGCATTAATTCGTAAGCGAGATGAAGAAGCCGGCGCCATGTATATTGTAACTGGAGGGAAGTGTAGATCTTGCTGCCGGACGATAGCATCTATGCCAGGACGTGAGCTTGCCGCTTTAACGGAGCAACTGAGACACTGGTGGAGACTGAAGTGCGCGTAGAGCCTCGCTGCGGGAGGAAGGACCGAGGCGCACAGGCGGGTAGGATTTTGCCATTAGTGCCGCAGCGGGAGGCTGCATGACATCTGACCAACAAAAATCAGTCCAACAGCCAATACAGAGCGCTCACCTCCCCCTACAAAAAGATGATTCTACAGGCCGCAATCACCTTTGCCCCTAACAAGCTTTATGCTCTTTGATCGTGTGTTTCGGAGATCACGGCAAGGAAAAAGGGAATTGGAACTCGTAAAAAATAAAGCCCGCATGCGCACTGGAGCTTATCCAGAAGTTCATCCTTATTTAATCCCTATCTCTCGCATACCTAAACACCGCAGAATGGGGCCGTCGGTCCGCGAACCGCGGGCCGTAGCAGAGGCAAATTTGAGCTAGTGCTGAATCGCACAAACGATTGATGATCGGTTCGCTGAAACGGATTAAGCGACCCACCAAAGTCTCTAAGGCTCTAAGCCCCCCCCACATTGCCAATTTCGAGTTAATTCACACTGCTCGCCTGGACATACTGACGGTAGATGAGGATACCTTTTCCTGGCTGTATCAGAATCATCATTGACAGTAAGGGGAGCGAAATTTAACAGCTTCCTTCGAGATAAATTATTGACCGGATTCGTATGTAAAATTACGCTCCATGCAGCTGAACGCCTTGTTTTGCCACCCCGCTTCAAAATCTGCCACTAGGGTACAACCTCTAATATCTAGAGCCTAGAAATAATGCTATCAGATTGCAACTGCAATCTTTCTACGCCCACTTATTACGAGCTGATCACATGAATTCTTGTAATTGCACTTACCTCAATATTTCAGCCCTAGGCCGGTGTCAATCGTCTTCATTCTCCCAGTCTTTTTCTGCTAGCACAGAAGCTGTGCGCCCACCATTGATATCAAGCTTCGCCAAAAATTCAGGGGGTACTGTAGGAATGTACTTGCGCTCTCGCTCACGGTTCAAACCTCCAAAACCTGCCCCATAGCTTACAAGCATGTCAGTGCTTGTAGGAAGAGAAAATGGTAGCATAAGAGCTGGATCCATAAAGAGTCCCTCGGAGCCTGCAACTTCTTCTTCGCCGGTCGGGGTAGTAGTATTAAACGAGGGATTTCTAGCGCGACTCGAATGTTGTGCCTCAGTATCATCTGAACTCGACGCTTTGAAATTATCTGGCTGGCGAGCTAAAGGCTGAGATCTCGAAAAGGTCCGCTGTTCACTCCTCAATTTTTCTCGTCGCCAGTGCCACTCCTTCTGTAGATTTACTAGGTACTTCATAGCACTTTTAGGAAGTCCCTTCTCTCCAACTTCGGGTCGATAATTTTCTACAGCGTGGATTAGTTGCTCTGGAGAAAGAAAGGTAAGTTGTTGAAGGGTATCAATAAGGGCCTCAAAGTCATCTGGGGCTAAAGATGAGAAGCACTGTAGCCACTGCAAAAGCTGGATAACAGGGGCAAGATGGTGACGCGCAGCGTCGATAGTGCTTTCACCTGTTGAAGTCATGGACCCTTCCTCAAAGTGATCTGGCTGTCGGTTATTGGAACATGCCCACTCCTCTAATATGGATACGTTCATGCGTATTTGCATTGCTTTGGTTCGTGCCATGTACTTCCGGTTTGTCATAATACGATTAAATAATTCGGCTCCGAGCCAATAGAATAACTGGGCCAGTATTTGTGCAGTGATAACCGAATGTATGTCGTATAAATCCAAAACAAACAAGGTGGAAGAAAGAAGAGATGTCACATTCCTCGGCGATGGTTTTGATCTTGCTTTGGGCGATGGAGGTCGGAACCTTTTATCCGCTGGCTCTTCCTTGACCTGATTTTTGCGTTTAAAGATCTTCCATTCGTGCTTAAATGCTATATCCTCAAAGCCTGCGATGGTCTCATGGTCTAGCATAGACGAATCTAATACCTTGTTCATTCTCCTCTCAGCATCACGGATAATCAGTACGAATATTTCGTTTATCAATTCGGCAAGCTGGAGTTGGAATTCAGAAGTAGCGTTAGCTAATCCGCCATCTTTTTTGAGATAATGAAGGAGTAACGTCGCATTAGATATCCAAAACGCTAATATAGTCATGTCCCACTGATGTGACTCAACAACATCGTTAATCTTCTCCATAGCTGTGACCAAAAGTTTGGCTAACAAGTCTTGATTTGCATGGTAATGAGCGTATCTTGCACTAAGAAATAGAATATTAGCTGGTACAGGCTTCTGAGAAGCTGACCGCTGCGGGGTCATGTTTGTGATGATGATACCGAGGATTCGACTGAGTTCGCTCTCCTGAAATACAAACATCTGATCGTGCAGACATCTGTTCCAGTCAAATTCTTGTGCTTCTTCCTCAAATTCTTCTGGCGTCTACATTTAGTCAGCACTCTAGTTAACTTTGCAGCGATTTCATCTTATATACTTCGGGCTGGTCGTCAAACCCCATGTTCCCGATATCAACCTCGAGATCCCGCGCACTTTCCATCATCATGCGTCTCCGCATCTCATTCTCGGCCATCTCTTCTTCGAAACGATCCTGGGAGAAGCCTGGAACATAGAAATCGTCTGTGACTCCAACATTGCCAATGTTATACCCACTACCTTGTAGATACTCAGAAAAGTCACTGTCAGAGGTGACGAAGTCAAAAGCCGTCCGACCAGAGGCAGATTTGACATCTACTGAAGCACCACGGTCTAGAAGTGCTTTGGAAATACTTTTGTGTCGATTTGTCATGGCCCACATGAGGGGACTCCACTGATTGCGGTCCTGGCAGTCAACTTTGGCGCCGGCGTCAAGAAGAGCTATAACTACTATTTCGTGGCCCTAGTCAATAGTTAGTACGCATATTTAGCTTCGTCATGAGTGCGATCCTTACAAAACAACAGGCATATATCAATGGAGGTGTTCCTTCTTCATCCGGAGCGTCAATATCCACATAACTCTTAGCTTTACCCTTAAGGATACGATGGATTCTCTCTACATCCCCATTACTAGCAGCCATATTTAATGTTTTCTGTAGGGCCTCTTTTTTTTCTGCTTCAGATAATCTCCCGTCGGCGATAACTACATCTTCATCATCAATCATAGAAATTTCCCTGTGGGCAGCTTGCGCAGCAAGCATTTCTGTTAATCTATTTTCTTTGTTGTGAGATTTTGGGGCCGGAAGGCCGTTGTCATAGTCTATCGAGAGGCTACGATATTGGAGCGGTTTGGCTAGAGCGGTGGATGAAAGAATTTGAGCCTGCCCTACTTGCATGTTAGAAGCCTAGTTTCCTATAGAGGAAAGCAGGACTGTTTACCCTGCCAGGCATCGTAGATCTCTGTCTCGACTGCATACGTGGGTACATTCCTGCGGTCATCTAACGACTTGGGCAAGTCATCTGGTAAAACGAAGGGTCTCTTAGCAAAGCCCCCGGCGGAATCTTGGTGATCCATTGCAAACGGACGAAGAGAGTGAACAGCATGTGTGCTTGATTTTAGCCCCAATCTGTTGTAGGAAGGACTAGACTCTTGTACCTCGAGGCATCGGTGTCAGGTACTGAGAATCAGATCCGTCTCATGCGCTGTTATGACGGGCTTTGCGACATCGTCCATACGTGGCCCAAGCGCTAGTTATGGAAAATAAGGGTCCTCGGCCCTATCACAGCCGGCTACTCTCACTCAAATTGCCAAAGAGGAAATAGACTCTTCACGCAAACCTCGCTTGGGGAGGAAAACTACTTGAATTGTATTGGCCTAACATTCAACCTTAATAATTCGAGACCAATTTTTCGTAGGATTAAAACGCTGAGGGATGAACTTAAGCGGCTACTTATTACGAGGCAGTCTATCTAGTGCAGCATACCCCACCTACGATAACCGCGGCCTGTCAGCTTTATTCCAGCACTTCTGGTGAGCCAGGATGCCGGTAAGTCCATTAAGCTTCGTTAGACCTCGGCGTTGACATATCCCAAGCTAATAACGCTCACTGGATACCCGACGTCAGGAAAAACTTACCGTGCGGCGCAATTGCAGGCAGCGTTGACGACGCGGATTCACGCGCTGCCACCGACGCACGCCTGGTCGGACCTTCGCATTCACGTCATCTCAGATCACTCGCTCGGCATTCCGCGCAGTGTTTATAACCTCGACGACAAAGATGCCTCGGAGCGGAGTAACAACGCCGCCGAGAAAAATGCTCGCGCCACCCTCTTTGCCGCCGTCCAGCGCGTGCTCGGGCCCAGCGACCTCGTTATCCTTGATGCCGCGAACTACATCAAGGGCTGGCGCTATCAGCTCTACTGTGAGGCGAAGGCCGTCGAAACCCCACATTGTGTAGTTCACATTGGTACGTCTATTGAGCGCGCCCGCGCCATCAATGAAGGCCGCCTCTTAGATGCGGCTGGAAGGACAGCCGACGAGGCGGGCGCTTATACTTTGCAGTGCTGGGAGAACTTGGTTTTCCGATACGAAGAGCCAAACGTTTTTGTGCGCTGGGACCATCCATTATTTACGGTAATCTGGGAGGATGAACAGCTGCCAGTTGAAGCGATCTGGGAGGCGCTTGTCGGCAGCGAAGAGAGTGGGAAAAGAATGGTTCGGCCCAATGCAGCCACAGTAGTACGGAAGGCAAATAGCGAAGACTATCTGCACGAACTAGATCAATTGACGCAGGGAATCCTGAAGATTCTTTTACAATGGATTCAGGATCACCCTGGCGAAGAAGGAGAAGTAAGCGTAGGTGACGGACTGTTCGTTAGATTAGCCACACGCTGTGTTGGCCTACCTGCACTACAGAGATTAAAAAGACAGTTCATTTCTCTCAACCGAGCTAACACCGTGCCTATAAACCGAATCGTAGAGAGCTTTGTCGGGTACCTCAACGATCAATTCGAAGCAATGTAAAAAGTCCATAATCAAGCTCTCCAAAGTATATTAGATCAAGTAGATAGACTTCTAGCATATGGGATACCGGGAACCTTACGCATACCAAGCTCACACTAGCTCGATATACTAAATATGGTAAGGTTTATCTATATTCGGTGTGGTCCTGTCCTGTGACTGTTGAGAAATTTGGTGCTCTTTGAGTGATCTGATGAAATCCGCACCGTAACAAAAGCATCCTGTTCTAATAGTCCTTAAGATAAATTTGCCCATGACTCAATCGATCATGTTAAGACTTAGCCATTGAGACCTGGGAATTCTAAACAAACAGTTAGGTCTGTATCGGTCACTGGCTCATTTTTGAAAATTTATTACTTGGTCCTCAAAATTCAGTTTCTTGGGACCCTCGTCCTTGCACGACTGAATTGTACCCATAAAGAGCTAAATTTAGCCTCGAGGTCAATAAATTATTACACGACCAACTATTTCATCATGTTTAAGTCCGAAGGGAATGGGATTGACAGTTGAGGTTATAAAACAAAATTTAGTTATATTATATCTTTGCTCGCCGAGTTTTCTAAAAAGGCGCTTTTGTACATGGGACTGCTTTGACCCAACTCAAATCATTCTCATAAGACTACGGGGTCTTCTTTGTACGTACCGGCTTGTAACATGAACGTGCAGCTATCTCTGATTAACAATCCAGTATTTTATCTTGATTTACAAGCCGTAAAACACTGGGTCTCTAATGTAATTTTCCATATCTTGCAGACTGTTTCTTGAACTATCTTAAAAAGCACATACTAATAAGATCATCATCCCAAACGTGCCTCTTAATTTCACATTCTTTAATGAATGTGCTACATTAGTCTGAAGACCGGGGGCAGGTCTAGTTTTAGAAGCATTGGTGTTTTCCGATGGATCTGACTCAGCTGGAACAACAGTAGTGCTGGTTAGCGTGGATACAACACCATCAGGAAGTGTAGTCGTATAGATAGTTTGTCTGGTTATAGGGTGTTTGACTGATGATGGTGTGTTTACCGATTTGGTGCTTGTTGCAGATAGGCCTAGGTAGACAAATTTTAGTAACTATTAGTCGACCACTAGAGGCTTTAGGAGAGATTTTGGACAGGGGGGGATTAGATTCGCGAGAATTTAGTTCCGCTAGGTCTGCGCAGATCTCAAGAGAATCTAGCCATCTAAAATTTTGTGTAAAGTAGAGGTTCCATTGGCACGAGTACAGCTATACAGATACCAGATGACTGAGAATTTAATTACGAGGGATTGTTGACTTTTGATGTTGAGATCTTAATAGGTTCATCTGCGTAGTTGATACCACTTTTTGCAATATGAAACAGGAATGTTTAAAAGTTTTGCGAGGAATAGTATATATAGGAAAAATGACAAAATTAAAAAATATAAACCGTATAAAACATGCAATATAGGGGTAAATTAACCCGGACATACCTTCACTTGTAGATTCACTAATGGATCTGTTGTTGGTAGTGGCAGCTTGTGGTAGTTTAGATGTTGGACTGATGCTCGTTAGTTCCGCGGATCCACTCGTATTTACCCCTAGATGGGGTGCGTCAGAGGACTGTTGCGGCATTTGACTCATGACTTCAGATGTAGGTGAGTATGTGGAAGTTGATGGAGACAAGTTCATGCTTTCGGAAGAGGACATAGTTGGGACAGAGGTTGGTCCTTGAGTATTCAAAGGCATAATTGGATCGTTATTAGTAGTGCTGTTTGCATTCGCTGGTAACCTCTTTACCAATTCAGCTATGTTGTGTTCAAGCCTGGAGTTTGAACGGGGGAGACCGCTCGTATCCTGATCAATCTGATCATCTTGCGCTATTTCATTTTGATAAATTCCCCTCATGTACCTCTGCACAACATTTTGGAGTATAGAAGATTCGGCAGCGTTAGCCGCATTCCGAGGTCGTTGGATATCATCAAAGGATACATTTCTAAACCGAAGAGGTCTGGTGGCAGTATTGATAGAAGCTGAAACGAGTGTGATAGCAACCATGAGTAATAGAAGAATTGAAAAATATAGGAGCTTAATATTCAACATCCTGAGGAAATTAACCTCTTTTTCCCTTGGAGGTATGCTGTTCTTCTTGTCTTGGATATTACAAGTGGGGGAGCTATGGCTAACTTTATCTTTTTCGAGATTGTAAGGCGTCATTGTTATGAGCGAGAGGGTCTCTGTGATGGAAGGCGTAGCTTGTGAATAGCCGAGCTTGATTACGTCCGCCAGCAGAATGAGAGTGTGCCTAAGGGATAGTATAACGATCGGTGGCTGGGGGGTGTTCAGAAAACAATAGTATAGTAGCTGGGGAAAGGAAGAGCACGGTGGAATAGAGAGCTATCGGAACCAGAAAAATCCGGCGATATCTCAGAATGGTGAGTACAGGATGTAGCTAGTGGCAGTCCTTTATAGTTGAATCCAAATAAAGCTTTGTCGTGGTACTACCTACACTGGGATCCTTACTTGGCCTGCGGTGCAAGCCCGATTGCTCGACTTTAGTGGCTATTTGCCCCCCACGACAGTATGATGACGATAATACTGCTGTTGCTGCTGCTAATGATGACATGAATCAAAAGATTGATGATGTTGTGTAGGATGCAGACGAATGCAATGTTATGCTATTCTTACCAAAATTCCTGAAATAGATTAAGCACTAAGTCCCCACCTCACCAGCCAACGGAACCGAGGCAACCGAGACACCCGACCTGCCAAATATGCCTGCTTTCTCCACAGCGCGTCCTTCACCATGTCCCCCTGCAGTCCCTTATTAGCCTCACCACCAATGAAAAATGCAAAGGGAAGAAGGAGACTCCAACTCCTGTAGTTCCCAGACCCCCATTTCAGTCCCCTAAAAGCAGGGGGCACCCATTTCTGGTGCCATGGCCTCTGCACTTATGCGGCAACTCAACCTCCCTCGCAATTCCATCAACATCTGCATCCGTAGGAAACAGACCCGGCATCTAGAATCGAAAAGAGTCATAAAAATATGAATGGACTACAATAAGGCTAGTGTCTGTCAACCAGCCAACGCATGATTTGAGAGTCGCATGTTTAAGGTATTTTTTAATCATAATTGAGATATATGCGTCTACGATACCCCATGAGATGTTATCAAGGGCATGGCTCTCGTCATAAAAACTGGACATATCTACCCCCTCTGGCAAGATGTTAAAGTAGCCTTAGCTTCACCGCCTTACATCGAGGTTTAACCGACGAGGTGTGTTTTCCAGACTGGACTCGACCAACGGCCCTTCATTTTCATGCCTTCACAAACTACAGGGAAAATCACACTGAAACAATCCATGAGAATCATTGGCACACAATAAAATTTCCTTGCTTTAGTCAACCTAGACAATTCGATATCTCAGAGCCTAATCCCGCGTGGCGAAATGAAAATGATGTCAATGAAATGAGCGGTGATAATAGGAGCGGTATTCAATACCTTGGTTCCAATTTGGGTGCATATGTGGGGAGAAAATTTCATACAGGAATAGAACAACTCGAAACCCTGCGCCGAATATCCCTCCGTTAAATACGGAGGATAATCCAGATAGACCTCAGTTGTCTTCACTATTATGCGACACAAAGTCGATTAATCAAAGGCCCATAAATGAGCTCAGAATCTTACCTCAATCCAAATGTTGAGACCTAATTCTACAAAAGTTAGTGACAGAAGAATATTCGTAGGACTACTCTATATTTTCCGTCAATTTTAAGCGCAACACACGATTAAAAAAGTACACAAGATCATTAAATGACGGATAGCAGATATTCACACCAGATATGTTTGTAGTATTGTGAACAAAAATTGGTTATATACAGTTAGCGTGACTTTTCCTTTAGTGTCTTGGGAATTTTTCGTGTCAACAAAGCCAAGGTGTTTCCACATCGTTTGCACTTGATTCATCAAAAACTAGTGCTAAACATCGCCGTGAATAATAGAATTATACTTATTGCCATTGTACAGATTAGGTTAAAGTTTGAAAACTACGCCCAGTGCTATTAAGACAATATAGATGCGCCACTCTCATAGGAAAATGCAAGGTTAGGCAATTACTTTTTAACAATCCTAGCCATCAATTAGCTATATTTCGCACACGCAGATGCGCTAGTGATTTAATGGTCTTGTCCAGGAGCGGTATCTTAGGATTTTATCTATCACAAGGTTAACGCCATCAAAGACCCGAGTACCGTATGTTGGTAAAAAATGGTTCATGATAAGCTAATATTGTTTCTCGCTGCCACAGATTGTTCACTAATGATACTAAATGCTCACCGCTAACAAAATCATGAGAAAAATCGTCTCTACCCAGCTAAGCTTGGCTAAAGGGAAAGTAGGATAACCCGTATTGTTTCGGTCCGACCTCTTGATAAACGGTGATGGCCTCAGTTCGATCATGAATTCTTAACTAAAATACTTCTTTGTGTTCAAAAAAGAATTTCTTGCTATAATTGTACCAAATTCTATTAGCATCAACGAAAAGTCTCTTTTATTTGCGGTTTATTTAAGTAGATTACAGCTCTACCAAAGTTTAGTATAAATTTTTGGAAAGTGATCTGGAGCTGTACACAATTAATCAACTTGGTAAAGTATGGCTAATTTTTTATATTGCGGGAACTGCTTCAAACGTGCATTTTTGCGTTACTACAGATCATGCCGGCGCACAATACTGGACAACAAGTATCAAATTCCGTTTAGCTAAGTATATGTAGACTATCCCGTGATCCGTTAAGATCGAAATTTTCACCGCCCATTGATGCAGATTTGATCGCCCAATAACCTCTGCAAATTTAGGAAAGCCAGGAAAAATATACTTATCTGTTGACGTTGAATCTTTTTCGTTATCGACCCTACCATCCTTACATTAGTCCCAGAACCCAATTTAACTACAAATTAACTTGCCTCAACAACCGATCAAGAAGTTGCTTCTATCATAAATGGGAGCTCGCCTCATCAATCACAGGTCATTTCATATTATTAAATGACCATACTAAGTTAACCCGAAAAGAGGAAATTAAATCAGAATATACAAAGCTCGGTCTTGACTTATTGAGGATTATGTGACGGGAATAATCACGTTAGCTATTCGCAAAAATATGTCGTAAATTGAATTATATTCTGCAAACAGACTACAAGGGGAACAGAGAATAAACACGCCAAGAATCGAAAGCAAGACATTGAAGAATGGACCAGAATTTGCGGCCTGGAGAATGTGAAAGGGAGAAAAAAAGAAGCCGGTAAGGTGGCCGCGTTCCAGGAGTGGAAAAACTCATGGACACGTCCAGCAAACGAGATACTATCTGGTCATCGAGCTTCGGCGGACCCTGAACATTGGAAAGCAGCAAATATTATTACAGATGAGACAACAGGCAGAAAAAGGATTACATATAGAAACACGCCCTCAAACATCCACCGAAACCTCAGTAGGGCCCAAAGCAGTATTGCAGTTCAGATAAGAAGTGAGCACATTGGTCTCAATTCTTATCTGTATCGAAGGAAAGTCCCCGGAGTGATTAATCCAAAATGTCAGTGTGGATAACCGTCTCAAAATTTCAAACATATGGTCTTGGCGTGTCCTCAGTGGGCAATGGGAAGAGGAGAGGAGCTCAAAAGGCAAAAGACAGGTCATTTGCGGCAATGATGAACAGCCCAGATGACATAGAGAGAATTACAAATTGGATACTTACAAACGGCTGGCTTGAACAGTACCGGCTTGCAGAAGAAGTTGAGACAGCAGTCAGCGAAAGGATTGAGCGATCGGGAAAAGGATAGGACGATATTCACACTGGACGTACAGTGTAATCGCACTTCCTGTTAGAAACCTCAGAAAAAAGAATAGACACGAGACAGAAAGTTGTAGGGGGTTTTAACCGAATTTGGTTTCCTCCTGTGTAAATACTTTTTTTTTTTTTTTTGCATCAGATTTTAATTGCGTATGCAGCTATCTAGCTATGACACAATATCAAAGAAAAGTACAGAATAGATGATTCAACGTAAAGGAAGAGCACTCATGCCTCAGATTTCATTTGCAAGTACCACTGCGAAGTTATGGTGGCTTTTTCTTCACCCCAAGTCAACCCTCATCCGTGAATACCCACTCAGGGAAACGTCTCAAAAACCCTGAGTTATCCAGACATGCCTTCATCATCTTTCAACTATTCTCCGCGCGATATGTGATCTGAGGTGTCTCTTTCCCAAGTGGAGTAGGTGCCCAGGCTACTCAAACCATACCGGAGAACACCACCAGGAGGCAGACCACGACACCTTCCATGGTTTGCTTGTTTTTATAGTGTCAACTGCACTCTCACAAGCGAAGTCTTGGCGCGCACAAAGCCCAATTCGAAAAACTCCTTGCCAAAATTCGGAATCTCATGCCCTTCGAAGTTATATCCTTCCTCTGTATCATCTTGTCAACTTGTCCTAATCCCTCTCACGTCCATTCCAAAGAACTGTCTCCCAGATTTGTGCGCCACGCTTTGCTTCCTCCGTCGGGTATAAATATCGGCGTGGGCGTGTATTTGGTGACCAGCTGAGGCCAGAGAAGGTCGAAGAGTGGTGTGGTCTTTGGAATGAGGATGTACTTGGTCGTACTTGTAGACTCGATAAGACGAAGATAGGGGTCAAACTCGTTGGGAGCGAAATAACGAAGTGGATGAGTAATTTGGATTTTTGCCTCGTGGGCCTACTTCTTTGATATTGCGAAATTTGACTGCACTTGGCCCTGGGAGAATATTTCACTCCCAGGTTCGTAGAGGACACCGCGTACAGGTGTTCAGTCTTGCCCTCCTGTGTAAATACTATGGCTAGTTAAACCTGCATGGGCCCATAGGGTACCTGAACGGGCTGAATGAAATCAAATCAAAAATTGTATTCTGCATAAAGAAATATGAACTATGAAGACTGCATGCATATCTACTGAATATCGCGCGTCGCCTATGGATTTATGCATAAGTTATCCTTTACACAACTCCTTAATCCAGCCAAGCTATGTACGCTTTTTTATATCATTCAATGTATATTCAGCGATCTATCTATGACACATGACCGATGCTAAAAGTCCTGAATATTCGCGAGAGAATTGATTAGACACCCCATTACCATTACCGTTCCCTTCCGGCTCACATATACTTACACTAATCCGAATTCTCTCAGTAGC